CAGGCAGTTTAGAGATGAGGTTATGAATTTAGTAGATACATGTTTGAAATAAATATGCTGTTCGATTGAAATTAATGTAAAAATGTGTAGTTGGATCATGTACTGAAGTTTTTTTACACGCTGTTAGGGGTTACATTAACACATTCGGCTTTTTAACTAGAGATTATGGGATATTTTATATCCAATTAATACCAAGATACATTAATAAATTAAATCCATATATACAAGAATTTTACGAGGATAAAATATTTTATTTCAAGCTACATACAAATTGATAATATTAATGATTTACTTGAAAAATATTTGTTTTTAAATCCAGTTATAGTTGATGAAGGAAGAACATTGTATTTTACAGAATTTATTGTGGCTGGATAAATAAAGTAAGACTTCTCTTATATGGACATTTTTACCCTATACTGCATCTATTGAAATGTGGTTAGGTTATAAAGGAAGTTTGATACAACTTTATCATAAGAAGATTACATAAATGTTAGTCTGTATTGCCAGAGTCGTGATAGGCAAGGTTTACAACTTCTGTTGCATTGTGTAAGAAGCGTAAAATTGTAATTCTGATTTTTAAAATTTCAGTTACAGGTGATTTTAAATGACTCAAAAGATTAGCAGTAAAACAAGTCATACATTGCAAAAGAAGTTATCCTCAAAAGTCATAATGGTTTTTGGGTGTAGACACGTGGAGTTTTACTAAAGAACCGCGAGAGGTTTTATATTGTTAAATTGGAACTATCAGTCAGCGTGTAAATTATAAAATGACTTAGAGTAAATAGTGTAATAATCTCAATATATATAACTAGTATAAATAATCATATATGTACTTAAAACTATATATACCTAGTATAAATAATCATATATGTACTTAAAAATATATATATAACTAGTATAAATAATCATATATGTACTTAAAAATATATATATAACTAGTATAAATAATCATATATGTACTTAAAACTATATATAACTAGTATAAATAATCATATATGTACTTAAAAATATATATATAACTAGTATAAATAATCATATATGTACTTAAAAATATATATAACTAGTATAAATAATCATATATGTACTTAAAAATATATATATAACTAGTATAAATAATCATATATGTACTTAAAACTATATATAACTAGTATAAATAATCATATATGTACTTATAAGTAAATATATAACTAGTATAAATAATCATATATGTACTTATAAATAAATATATAACTAGTATAAATAATCATTAAAGATAACAATAAACTGTAAATATTCAGGGAAAATAAATACAATAAAGAGAAAAATAAAAGAAGTTCATATACAAACAAGGTAATCGGCGTTTCTTAATAATCTGAAGCCTTATTACAGCAGAGTTCCGGTGTTCTACGAACTTCTTATAGACGATAAACGAAATGTACATTTATGTCCAATTGTTTCAGTTTTTGGTTGTCCATCTTAAAAACTAACCCGGCTTTTTGAAATACTTCTTCGCCCACTATTATACAAAATACATGTTCATATTTAAAATGCTAAATAATTTTTGATGAAACTAAAAAATTATAACCTCAAAATTAATACTTAAATGATACTATTTACTTTTGATGTTGTACAACTATATTCTTGATTCCTTTAGATAAATGGATAAAAACCTTAATTACTGCTATTTCAAATCAGCGAGCCAATTAAAAGCTTTTCAGTATTCCATACCATGGGCTATATTTTGTGTTACCGATCACCAGCTGTCTTTGTTTCTATCAGTGGGTTATGACAGGTTCGGGTAAATAAACTAACAACTTATTAGGAATATTGAGACTGGTATAGTTAAACGGTCGTGTGGACGTTCCCCATTGCCTTTAAGCTGTCACGATGCCCTAAGGTTTCCTTATCTCTTTTTCTGACTTTTGGCGATTACTGAGAAGAAACAGTTTATACAGGACATCTTATGATTGATAATCACACGCTGTACTGAATAGAAACGATGTTTAATTATAAGGCAACTACGAGACTTAAATATAAAATTCGCGGGCGTTCATAAAGCTAGGTGGCGTAGCTATTTCACAACGAACTCAAGCTACTGCACTGACTAGGTAGCAGGGCTAACTGTAGATGCTACAGAGACTGAAAGTTTGGCCAGTGAACTTCGTGAGCTCGGTAGAATATTGATTATTGTTTCTTGTGAATTATTGTCTTACATGTTTTATTGAGATATTTCTACTCCCAGGTTTTTGTATTATAATCAAGTGTTATGTACATTTGTACGAGGGATAAACCACATGAACAGGGATAGGCAGTGGTGGCGGAACAAAAAGTGAAAACGCGTCCAAACTAAAAGAATTAATGTAAATTTCTTACATTTTGAAAGATTCTGCACGAGCAAAACAACATTAGTTGTTAACGTGGATATGGCATAACTCAAAACTTGGATATGGCATAACTCAAACTTCTTTTCAAGAATTCTGTATGTTTCCTGGTTCAGCAATATTTCGGATCAGCCGTGAACAGAGTTACAAAAGCAGAATGTTAGTTCCTCCTGTGAATCAAAATGACAGCCTTTTGTGAAAAGATTATGAATTAAGGTCGTTTCCCTTTTTAGCACCTACATGGTAACAATTATGAAATTCGCGTGATTTAAACGCAAGTTTGAAATATCTAATATTTCGTGTTTTTAACGATTCGATAGTTTCAATTATAAGCAGAAAAATCAGACCTAAGTTTGTTTGTTAATATACAATATAATGAGACTATCACGAAAAGATTCTATCTAACATTTGCTTATTATACTAATGGCTGGTCCACAAAATGTGATGTTATGAGGCTTAGTTGTTACTAATACAATAGTAAAAACCGCACATTACCAGCTTACAATTTTAAGTATTTTCACGAAAGTAAATTAGCTCGTTTTTCATGGTATTCAAAAACACGCAGGATCAACAGAAAAAAATTATCACCATAAGAAAGAAGAAGATGGTCAACAGCGAGCTGTAACTGCTGCTACTTCAGCTCTGGTAAACTAATGAAGTCGAGTCTGGCCACCAAGCTGGTGGAAGAAAATGGACATCTAGTGCCAGAAGAATTATTGATGAGCCTAACTGTCTGAAGACTGTATGGTGTTTTCTTCACTATTTTTATATGATATATTATCAACTTCGGACGTTTCACAGGGTAAACAGATTGAACATCCTCAACTTTGACTTTTTATATTGTACAAACAAGGACTGGGTCATCCTGATCAACATACTCCAATCATGAACTATTGCCTGATTGCTCACTACCAACATAAAGAATCTTTTATAGAAAAATTCGGTTGTAATCACCAAGGTTAAAACATTTAACCCTATTGTTAGCTGACCTTTCAGATTAAGTACTAAGCATTCTTAACATTCACATTTGTAGAGTAATCCAAGGTTTTGGTCCTTCTGCCCAACATAATTTTGACCACAAATTATTGCCTGTAAACATACTACTTTTAGGTTTAACATTACCTTGAAACTTTTTAAGATATATTTTTGTTAATAATGAATGGAACGTAGAAGTTCAATTTTTTTTCATTAAATAGTCATAAAAGTCAGTACATGACTATGTAAAGCGTATTTTGACGATGAGCACTGCTTTAACTGTATTCACATTCAGACCTGCACAGATCTGGGTTTCTCTCCACGTACAGATGGAGCTTTCGAGAGTCTGGCGGCAGGAGAATACGAGTTACAACAACGAGCAAGTCATGTAGGCATATTAGTATTGCATTCGTGATTCGATGTGACTGACAGTTTGATGTTTTTATAATAAAATCGGAACGCTATTGCGTCCGGACACTAGGATAAACTACCAAAGAACAGGACGTCTGGTCACCCTAGCATTAGTTTATAAATCTACTTGTCTCTGGTGTCGGCAAGGTTATACTGAGTCAACTGAAAGATAATTATTAACTCGTGGTAAAGATTGAGCAAACTTGAGATCCCCGATTAAGGCGAGTTTATTTGAACATGCCCTAAGAGAATGTTATGTACGTTCTAATTACTTTACGATCTCAGCCAAGATCAATGATGAGCAAAGTCTCCATTTACAGAGGCTTGAAATAAACTAAAATGGACTCATCCTACAAGTTACCATTGATAGTATAAAAGGCTTTCGTCGGTTTTTGTAGAAACGTAACATACTATTATCTTTCCCTGTTATTCCAAAAATAGGATGAATAAACACAGGATTAGCTTTCAACGTGGTTCCCGCTGATTTTTCCAAGCCCGTTCCCTTGGCTGTGGTTTCGCTAGATAGTAGATAGGGACAGTGGGAATCTCGTTAATCCATTCATGTGCGTCACTAATTAGATGACGAGGCATTTGGCTACTTTAAGAGAGTCTTAGTTATTGTGGTTTCGCTAGATAGTAGATAGGGCCAGTGGGAATCTCCTTAATTGAATCTTGTTGAATGTTATTGTGAAAGGATGTGGCATGATGGTTTAGAGTACAATTAATGGTTGATAAGTGCAACATTAAATACATAATACCATGTTGAATGTTACTGTGAAAGGATATGGCATGATGGTTTAGGGTACAATTAATGGTTGATAAGTGCAACATTAAATACATAATACCATGTTGAATGTTATTGTGAAAGGATGTGGCATGCATTCCACCTTGCACGTAGGGTTAATTATTGTTAAATTTAAGCAACTGTTTTGCTGCTAAATAATACCTTTGACATGTGACTATAAGCATTATTTAAGGTATAATGGAAAAGCTGTTTTTTAAGCAGGTATTAAAAAATCACTTGCAACAACAAGAGTCACAACCATCAAAAATTGAATGTTATAATATGACAGAAAATTATTTTTTAAAAGTTCTTTAATATAGAACAACAGAGTAACGTAATGTTATGAAAATAAATACCCAAATAAATGGAATTCAGTATTAAAATAGGGATAAAATGTTAAACACAACTTATCTGGATTTGCTGTTACAGTGAAACCATTCATGTTAAAAGGAATACTTAAACGAAATAACTTCAATCCCAAATTGAAGATTTATATTTATTCAAAGTTGAATTTTCATACATAATCAATCTTAATGTGAAAGACTACAACAAAACTTTGCATATCAGTTTTCTTGACATAGCCAAACACACATTTCTCCAGCAGAATTCTGAGAAAGGGTCTTTCACTAAAACCAAAGCACATTACTTGAATTTACATATCAGAATCATTAAACAAACATTCAAGTTCAAAGCCAGAATAATACAAACAATTATATATTGACGGTTATAAACCTTCCATTTCCAAATACAAAGATTCCAAATAAATTATGTTACAATGTTTACTACTCTCAGCTTATTTAAAAACAATAGAATTTGTTCCAAATTGCAAGATACCGTGGACAGAGCTCATAAACTTATCCCCATTTTTCATAAATCAGATTTCTCCTACCACATTTTGTACATTAATATAATTTTGCAGAAAATTCAGCATTCAGTTACTTATCCCCAAGTCATATAATAATTATTACTAGCAGACAATTTTTGTGGTTTTAATGGGCAGGTTTAACAACTTCAATTAAAATGGTTTCTATCCTCTGGGGTTTAACTATTGTTAAATTTAATCAACTGTTTTGTTACTTTTCACATGTGATCTTAAGCACAAGTATTACTTAAGATGTTTCTTTAGGCAGACATTTCCAACAAATAAAATATCATTTGTAACAACAAGAAATACAACAATCAAGAACTAAATTTTATATCATTTGAAAGAAAATTATTTTTTACAAATTTCTTTATTAGAACAACAGGTAAGCTAATTTTATGAAACATATCCATATATAAATTAACTTCAGTGTTATATTAAACATAACTCATGAGGATTTGCTATTACAGTGAAACCGAGCATGTTGAAAGGATAAGATCAAGAACCAACTAGCATAGGAGCAGTGATTCTGATGCTTTCTTAGGCATAAAGGAAGTGAAGAAAAGGGCCATTTTAGCTAAAATGATGAAGCAATGAAATCTAAATAGTTAAATGACAGTTATGTAGTGATCTTGAGGGAGAAGAAATGAAAAGATTTAAACCAGTGGACCTCAGTATTCAGCCGAGTAGAATTATGAGGCTTTTCAAAAGCCTCCTCATATGTTGAACTATGAAAAATATCACTTGTGAAACAAGTGGGAAGCTAATTGTATTGTATCATGCTACACTTTCTCATGTGATACAGTCAATCATTTAAATCATACCATGAAGAGTTTTAATAAAATATCATCATCAGATGGTAGTGACAATGGACTCTACCATGAAGTAATATTTAATCAAATACGGAACTGTACAAGATAACGGATGCACACATGTGAAGGTTCAAACACTACGTACTCATTAAATTTCAGAGAACGATGGATAATTTTTTTCTTTAAGTCAATATCTGCTTCCTTTGGACCCAGAGTAATCTCTCGACCTAAAAGAAGGCATCAACTAAATTAGCCTCATCTAAGTTAGTAATACAGGTCTGAACTGCAACATTTGTAAATGACACTAAAAATCTTTGATTTTTTAACAAAAACAATTGTTTTGTTTTTATTGTTTGTTAAAAGTGTCTTTTTTTAATTTATATCTAAAACTATTATCATAAAAAAATGTTCAAGACTTGAATTATCACCAACAATTTAGTATTTTCTTTCTTGCTCATCTTAAATATTTCTCAGGCATTTTGCAACTACAGAAATCTATATATATATATATATATTCATAACATCAATCACAAATCTCTCTTTAACTTATCAAACGTTTGGAGTGCACGAAATTTGTTTGTTTGTTATGGATTTTGCGCAAAGCTACACGAGGGCTATCTGCGCTAGCTGTCCCTAATTTAGCAGTGTAACCCACTGCCAACTCTTGGGCTATTCTTTTACCAATGAATAGTGGGATTGACCGTCACATCATAATGCACCCACGGCTGAATGGCGAGCATGTTTGGTGTGATGGCCATTCGAACCTGCGACCCTAACCACCTGGCCATGCCAGGCCTATGCACGAAATATAGTCAAATAAATTTATTCCTTGTATAACCAATAAAGTTTGAACCCATTATTCATTATTAATAGTTGTTAATACATCTATTAATAAAGTGGCAAAAATTTAAATTGGTCTAAACCTTTATAATTGCTGTGAACTTGTACATTTTTATTTTTTTTATAACTATAGTTGAATTATTTGATTCAGATAAAAATGACTCCAACTGGAATTATAATCATCTATTTTGTCAAGAAATCAATATCCATATTTAAAGTCAGTTTTCATGTTCCAAGTTTTAGCTTTCTTAGTTAAGAGTAACAAAATCTTATGTTCCATAAGACATCACATTTGAGATATTTTAATCACTATAAAATAGCCATTAGTCATTTATCTATTGTCAGTTTTATACAATACTTTAACAGAAAAGTTTTACTGTAAATTAATCTTAATAAATTTTTGTGAACATAATTTTTTACCTTGCCAAGAAACTGACTGAGCAGGATTAGGGTGCCAAGTTCCTAAGGCATGAAGTGTATCATAACAGTGCTTGCTTGGTTCAGGGAAAGAATCTGAGGAAGACATGTCTGTTTGATGTACTTTCCCAAGGAAAACCTATTATTAGATGGAAAAAAAGAAGTACCATGTTAAGCACATTTAATTCACAATTCATATAAATTATTTTTACATCATATCACCATTCATACACTAGGGGTCAAAATTAGTACTCTCCAACTGGCCTTTGTCAAGCAGTATTCTAGAAGGTCAAATTGAACTTGACTAATACATGCTTGGTGGGTCATTCTATTGAGGATGACAGTTAAATGAAATAAATTGATAATATAAGAATGAAGCTGAATTGTGAATTTACTGGCTCAACATACTTTTACTTCCGGTGTGTTATCCTGACAAATGGAATGTATCTCTACTTTGAAAGTAGATATTCCAGTTCATTATAATTGCACTAAAGAGAAAGTGCTGAGATACAGGGCCGTACAAACAATGTGCAAATAATTCCTAGTCAAATTATTTATGTTTAAAAGTTTTGAAGCAGTGGTTTAGTGACTTCCAGCTTTGTATTTTAACACTTGTTTAAATCACACAAAAATGGTGTGAATGAAAATAAATCACTGGTGAACACTGGCAACTTTTTATCAAAGCTGTAATGCAACTGAGGGTGCTACAGTAAATGTTTTAACTTAAGTGCTATTTTGTTGTTGTATTTTTTTGTTGAAATCAATAAATACCCTATATATAGTTATATTATTCTTTATTAAATAGAAAGTTCAAGTATTTGTGATATAAAAACAAATCTATGTACAATGAAAAACAAAAAACAAACAAACTTGGGTTGTCATCCTCAATGTTGTGTTATAGCTTACAAAGTGCATAATTCTTTATGACATTCTCACATTTTGCTGACATCATGATAGTACAAACTGCAACATTAAGTGTCCCTTATGTGATGCAATTTTAGTGTCTACTGACGAACTGACAAACAAACAGTCAACACACTACTATATTGGTGCGAGTGGTTAAAACAGGTGACCCCTCCAGGTAGTCTTCGCCCCTTTTTGGGGAAAAAATAATTAGTTTTATTGAAAGAACAACAATTTCATAGATTTATAAAGGTGTTAAGTATACAATAACAAAAATCAAAGTCTCAAAGAGAAGGAAGGATGCATTTTTACTGATTTTATAAAATTGGTGTTTTACAACAAAACTTCTGAGATAAAAAAAGCAAGAAGTGCTGGTACATTAAACATGATGAAATAATGCATATCCTTAAAATGTCTCATATAGTCTAATTTTAAATATGTTTTTCAACATTTATGGCCTAGGCCTTCTTAATCAGATAAGAACAGGAATTTTTAAATAGAATAACTTGCACAGTTGGCCAATAGTACTGTCAAGCTAATTTCAACCCCTGTTGGACTAAACAAACCTTATTCCATAACTTCATTCAAGTACTTTCAAGTCAAAATTTAAAAATAGTTATTTACAATAGTTTTAATAGATTTCAATAGTTCTATTCATTTCATAGACATTAGCTAGCATTCTTAATTTTGTGCAAACATTAAAATATTTTATATGCTAAAACAAAAATTCACTGAAGTAACCAAATATATGGAGTTTAATGTTTAATCGGATAAACCGAAATGAAAATGAATAGTATTTTTGCAAAATTGTATTATCATTAAAATCTTAAGCTTTCAATAGTCTACAAAACAAGTGATATTAATAATACCTCACATAAAAACATGAATTTGGTCTGTTCATTTCCTGGATAGCAATAGCCCTGACTCTTCTGAAACATGTCAGCAAAATAAATCCCCTACAGAGAGAGACAAACATTGTATTCTATTCTCTGATGGTCAAAATATCATCATTTATTTATCATACAGATTTGTAATCCAAAAGAATCCATCCAATTATAGAACACATTATAACACTAATGTCTGAAGTGGGATTATTTTGGTGAAAATGAAATATAACTTTGATTAAACTTGAAAACAAAATCAAAATTTGAGATAAAACTTTGCTAGAGATGATGAAACAATTAAAAGGTCAAGAAGAAATGGACAGAAAATTAAAAAAAGATTAAGAAAAAAGTTAAAAGAAAATTAAAAGACCAAGAAGAAATATATAAGAAATTAAAAGATCAAAAAGTAAGAGACAGGAATTTAAGAGAAGAGTTAAAAAAAAAAAGAGACATAATATTTGAAGAATTAAAATCAAAAATAAATCTGATTGAAGATAAGATTGATGAGACTAATGGAGATGCAGAAAAGGACTACAAAAACTAGATTGAAGAAATATGCAGATAGGCTGTAGAAACAAAACTGAAATTACACAAAGTTTGTAATGAAATAATCAAAGTTCAGAACAGCTGTAATGACAAAATAGATGAACAAAACAAAAACAATAAAACATTTTGAAACAAAAATTGGTAAATGCAAAGAGAAAGCCCAAGAACTTCAACCTAAAACACAATTTATTATTAAATATGGAATGGGAGAACTTATTTGGTCTACACATGTTACCACTACTGTTGTGCCATCTGAGACTGAAGGATTTTCCTGAATCACTCCAGCCACAGCACTGTTAAATAAAGTTACAGAATTTAGCTGCCAGTATGACGACATCACCCAATTAAGAAATCAGTGGACTAAAACGGAAAGCTACCATGAGAGACATGTCAGGCTCAGTACAAAATAATTTCCAGAGTGAATGGGAAGAAGTCTGAAAAGCAACATACCAGGCTTGGAATGATAGGATCTTGTATGTCTTACTCAATCTGAGGAAACAGAACTCATCTGATCTGGAATTATGAATACTCATACTCACTCTCCAACCGTGTGGGCAAGGTAAATTCCACTTTCCCCTGGAGTTATGGGGAGGACGTGGAACAAACTGTGCTGAACCAAGGACCCAGGATGGGACCACTCTGCATTCAGAATTATGAGAAGACAATGGACCCTCTTCTATGAACAATGCACTGAACCAATATTGATCAAAAAGAAGGGCCACTCCCAACACAATCTGATAGCCGAACGTCAAATCTGAACTCGTATTATGAGTAGGCTGGTACCCCTCCTATCGACATCTGGAAAAGAATATCCATGGACCTAGCCAGGATGGCCCACAACTTTGCCTTCTTCTCCAAGAGTAGAGGAATTTACTCTAACACTTTGGAGGAAAAGCTTCTGTCTACCACCACAGTGACTGGAAATTGGATGTGGTAAGGACTCCCTAGTTCCACTCGTAGAACCTAGGGAGTAATGTGCATTGGGGAGTCCTGAGGAATAGTGCAATAAGTGAACAAAATTTCCTAAATTTTTAAAAGCAAACCGACCCCAATTTATTCAATCCAATGATCAGCAGAGATGGACAGGAACCCTTATGCTTTACTCAAGATAGTCCATGAGTGGCACTCCAGCATAATACAGTAATACCACCCAGTCAGCCTTTAGGTGGTCTTATGGAACACCTCATTTCCACAGAGCCTGTTGCAACCTGGATAAAGTATATTGAATTAGTGGTTGCTAGTGTGGAATTGGTTTGATAAAAGCACACCTGTCTGGGCAACACTCGCCACAGAGTGAGATTCTGTGAAAATAGGGTAAGGGACCCTGAAAGGTAGCAATTAAAATACTCACCCTCTGTATAATATAGAGGAAGTGGTTAAGATAGTTACAGGGGGTAGGCAAAAACCCTCAGATGAAGATATTGCCAGGTCATGCAAATAATGTGAGATAAAAGAATTGGGGGAGACCCACATATCAGTTCACACAATGTCCTCTAGCAGACAATTCAATCAGGCTGCTAAGGACATAGAAATGTGACAAATCTAAATCTTCCACAGAAGATTCCTTGCTTTCAAAGAGAGCCCAGAATAAAAAGGTATCTCTAAAGGTATTAGTGTGGGCAAAAACACTTCCAAGACTCACTGAACATGACAAGGATCAAAATCACGTCAGTCATAGAAGTGAGAAATACTGATCAGATGAATCAGTGAAAAGGATTTATCCACTTCCTTGTCTGACAATGTCTTGGGTAAGAAGATCCTGTCTAAGGACATAGGTAGAATGATAGAGAAGTCTGTGGATCAACAGCAACAAAAATATACATTCAAGTAAAGGTGATATGTGGTATATGAGGTCACAAACAGGTCTTGAAAAAGGACACATAATGTAAATTAGGTAATTGTAATGGTAATTTGGGCAAAGATTCCAAAGCGACTTAAAAACCTAGAGAGTACTAGTGACTCAAAGAATATTTTGTCCTGAGTATCAAATGGTAGTTGATAAGGCCTCCATATAAAGGGTAATTATGGAAGATGCAAAAAACCCTTGCCAAAGAGCCAGATAAAAAAAAAAAAAGAATTATGGTTACCACTTCTGATCAAAGTGGGTTCAACTTCCTCTCAATACACCATTGCCGATATGTGTGTCATTTCCGGTGATAAATTTCTATCGTGGGATTAAGAAAAGACTGAGACAGATACATGGTAACCTTAGAAATTAAACCCCGATGCAGTGCAAAAGACTGATAACCTTTATGCTTGAAGCTTGAGCTTCTGTATGTCCGGGTGTACCATGTGAGATGGCCTAAGAAGAAGTGGAAGAGGTGGACACTCCTGAAGGTACCACAGAAGCAGAAACCAGGGTGTAGATGCCAATTTGCTATAACAGGACCCGACAATGTGTTGGAACAAATCTTAGTTAGGACCTTGGGTAACATATGAATTGGAGAGAAGGCCTAGAATAATAATCCCATCCCATCCTGATGGAATGCATCCATTGCCATAATCTGAAGGTGAGGTGCTGGAAACCAAATTGTCATTAGTTGGGTGTTCCAATGAGGGGCCAGCCCACCAATCAGAGTTGCAAAATGTATGGTGAATCTGTATGGATTAAGACAATTGATCTGCTACTGCAGTCATCATGCATGGAACATGGCAAGCTAGTAAGATGATCAGATAAAAGTAGTCCTGAGAAACACAAGATACCACCACCACGGAATTGTCAGAGTGAAGCCTGACAATTTTCCCTTTAATAAGCCCAGACCATAAGACATTGCTTTTGAAGAGCAGGAAGGATTAAAACATTGTGTAGGGAAGCACTGTCATCAGTGCATAGACCCTGGAATTCCTGACTATTGGTATATGCACCCCATTTCTGAAGCGAGGCATTCATGATGAGATGGAATTCTGAACAATGTTGCAGGAGAGAAACCCATATCTTAGTAATATCCCGACTTAACAAGCACCCAAGATTGAGGAATGATCCTGACTAAGGAAAGTAGGGAATCCAGTGAATAAATGTTTATGATCCCTTGGTTGCATAAAGACCATGAAAAGCATTTCTTGTGCTCTCATTCCAAAGGTATGAGGGATTCAAGTAATGCCCACATTCCCAGAAGAGAAAAAAACATCTGTGAGTGAGAAAAAGAGAGGTGAGTAAGAATCAGGCTTCCTGTTCAATAGCTTTGAGTCAGATGGGAGTCAGCTGAGCCTGACTGAAAGATGTGATGACATATTGAATTAGAAAAAGGTAATGTATCAGCTCTGAGAATGAAGCCTGCTTTAGTTGTTTCTGAAAGTATAATCAGGGTATGACGTTCTGACCTGAAAGGTGCTCACCTCTCATAACAGGATTAAGATAAACGTCATTAATTATATACGACATTCACAAACTCAAGCATACATAATTGCATATTCCAACCTAAAATATCCTATTTACATAATAAACTTTCATTGATATTATAGTATACTTTAATAGGAGAGTGATACAGCTTCTGTGTGCAGTAATCCCCATAAGCACTAGAAGTTGAACATAAGCTGCAGCAATGTTAGTTTTCAATGTTTCACCATGTTTGTGCTTTTTGTTTTTAACCTCTGGTTGATATTTATTATGTGGTCTTTCCTTAACTTGCTTGATTATATTAAAAAATGATACTAAAATTTAAACTTATCAGTTACAACTGTCATTTGAATTATCTTCAATTTGATTTTCTTTTAATTGACTTTTTACTTTTGAGACTTGTCTCATTTTCCGTTCCCAGTTTTTAATCCAATGTAAGAGTTTCGTCTAGTACTCTTGAAAGCTGTCTTTAGGCCAATGCACAATCTTTATACCCAGCTCATTTCCTTTCTAGCTTATAACAAGAAACGATTCTACATATTTTACCAAAACAGACTACCATACAGGCGTGTATGCAGAATGTTTGAAAGGGGTTCTAACTTGTGAGATCAAAAGCCAAAACATTGTGAGAAGCACAATCAGCATTCAAAGCATGCTAATGGTACAGGGGTCTGGAGGCATGTCCCCTAAGAAAATATGTAAAAATATAGGTGCTATTAGATTAAATCTGGATGCAATTTTGCATGAAATACAGCTTAAACAATTACATGAAAAGTCAACAAATCATCATTCTGTTGTAACACTACATGGGAAGCTAGACTTAAATTAGTATAAATATGCATGTTTTATTATAGTAAAGTACTATACTATCTACATTCAGAGTAGTTATTAATGGTTAGATTATATACACCTGGAAAAAAGTTAAGCACCCCCAAATATTTTTCAGGATTGCTTATTGAAAATAAGGTTTAATTTTC